TGCTATAAAAAATTTTGATGTTTTAGCATTTATTTTGACTTTCGCACAAAATTATTTTGATTATTGAACAAAAATTATTTTCAGATCTGGATTTAGCAAAAGTGTTCTTTCCGTGTATTAATATCGTATTATTAGGATCGTAGTGTCTGCTTTAATAAAAGTTAATTCGAAAAATTTTTGTTAAGAACCAACTATCTATCTATCTACTTCCTGCAAATTCTGAGACTTCTATTCTAATTGAACGGATCATTAATATCCGGTGCGTTCAGCGTGTTAAACGATCGTAGAAATGCGTAAGTCATTTCGCAAAGTAAAAATCGCAGATATACTTGATATTTACGTCTTCATGCACAAACCGTTGCGAGTAAATGGCTAGTACGCCGATGCATCTTCGATGTGACGGCGTGTTTAATCGCGATGACAGCAACACGTTGGGTGTGCGAGAAGTAAATATGGTAGAAGACACTCTCAAGCCGGAGTCTGGTCAATCATCCATAAAATTAACCTGCGCGATTTCTTACCGATTAAAGTTAATTTTAAACGTCGATTTTTAAACTGCAACGAGCGCTAAATACCATGAAATAGAGGCTAGAAGATACACGGTTGATAAAGAAATGAGTAACTGGTTCGAGTAACAACTAGATTATAAGTACAAAACAATTTAAGAAAGAACAATTTTGCTGAATCTAGATCTGAAAATAATTTTTGTTCAATAATCAAAATAATTTTTTGCGAAAGTCAAAATAATTGCTAGAATATCAAAACGTTTTATAGCAATACTTGTCAGTTTTAACATTTCTAACCAATTATTTTGATGATTCAACAAAAAATTATTTTCAGATCTGTTTTCAGCAAAATTTTTAGACCTTTTAACAAAATCGTTCTTTCCATGTGAAAAGTATGAAAAATTAAATAATTGTAATTGAGCTTTTTGTAATTAATTTTTCTTCGCTCCAATATAAAATCCTTTAACATTCCTTTAACATGTCAATCAAACTCTGGCTCGAGTATCTAAATTTGCTACAGTTTCATTGCGAGATAATTTATAAGAGTCGCAATAATCTAATATATTGGACATTCTCCGAAAAAATTGTGTAACAGGGATTAGAATCGCAATAAAGAAAAAAATATTATAATCATATCAAAAATATGATTTTAAGCCGAGGCTATTTTACTCTTATAGGATAGCGTGTACGGTAGTAATGAGTGCATTAACGCGAGCCCCTGTACATCTCGGGCGTACAACTGTTCATATTTTTCCCGTCATCGAGAGCTGTTATTACAAATTCACGCTTACCCGCGGCCGAGAGTGAAACCCGTACGCGAACGACAACGTACGTACGTTGTTTGCGGCGTGTAACTCGCGACAACTCGGACGTGGAAACTTGCGCGCGACTCGATACGCTCGCGCGTATATATACTTACTACTCGCGCGCTTTTTTCACCGCGAAGTACCGCCGCACTCGTCTTATTATTTCGCAATACCGGCGAAAGGGATTAAGTGAGCAAGCAATGAATTACCGCGTTGAACACCCTGTATTTAGCGCGCGCGCCGCCGCGCCGCATCCGTGTCGCTGGGCGGGAGGGGGGGGGGGAAGGGAGGTAGGGAAAGGGAGATAGGGTACGCAGATCGCGTTCGTTTTGCGATGCAAGACTGTCACGCACGTCTTTAATGTTACGCGCTGCGTACGTGCCGGCGTATCCTCTCCTCCGGGAACTTATTGAGAAATTAAAATGATTACACTGTGTAAGCACGTATAGCTCCGTCCAAGTGTACCGGGGAGAGAGAAGCGCCGCGTATCGGCCGTACGCGCCGGGATGAGCGGTGCGCGCGATCGACCCTTCGTACGAGCTCCGAACTGCTGCACACTCTCTCGGCGAGCTTCTCTTCCGCCCCGCGGAGGAGAAATCTCGGAACCGAAAGGGGGAGAAAAAAGAAAAGGAGGAAAAATCGACCGCTCGTTTCTGATAACTCATTTCATTTACCCTTATACCGGGCGTTCAGGTGCTCCCCGCGCGCGATCGCGTTCGTTTTACGATCGCCAGGATCGTGTCACGCACGTCTTTAATACGCACCCTCCACGTGTTCCTGTATCGATAGAGAAGCTTTGAGGAATTAAGATGATTACACTAAGCGCGTATACTCGAGACCGTAGACCAGAAACGCGCGGCCCGCGACCCGTCAGGTTCAACACGCTCCATACTTTTCTCCCGGAGGGAGAAATGGGCAGGGAGGAGATTTGAAACGGATAAAAAATATCGATCATTATGATCCCGATATAACGTATACGTCTCATTTACCAGGCGGTCTTTTTAGGGCGTCACGCGAAGTATTAGCCGTTCGTCGCAGTAAGATTCGCCGTCGTCGTGCGTGCGACGTGTGTCGCGCCAAATGGACGCTAAAGACGGACTTTGGTATATTACGCTCCGACGCGTAATTCTCGATCGACGACAAGTTTTATATCGATAGCGTATAAATGTCGATTCGTCGCATGCCTATAGCTGTTGCATGTCTCCGCGCCGTCGCGAACCGCGGCTTTGCGTTCACGACTTCATTCATCAAAGCCCGAGCGACACGAGTGTATGTATAAGCTCCACGAACATTGACGCTCCCGAGATAAGTGTCATGAATTACGAGTAGGTTGAAAATATATGTATTCATCACGCCCGAGATTGTATCATTAGGGGGAAAAAGGTCTTCAATAAAGGCGACAGGATTGAACCGCGGATTAAAACATTTGAAGAACCTGTTTCCCGCACGTCCGATTATATACCACGTTGATTTCTATAGTTTATATTCAAGTTTATATTCGTATTTAAAATGCTTACGAGGTTTCGCGTCGTAATAAATGAATTTACGAGGGAAAAAATTTTGCTAGTTAATATTAATTGTCTCTTCTGCCTCTTTCAGCCATCTTTCGAAGGACGTCGGTGTCTCCTGAACAAGTGAAAATCGAAGGCATAGCGACCTGCCTTTACCTCTGCATGGATCCCTGCGGTCTACTTTACGGCTCGGTAAGTAGAGCTCTTTTTCTTTAATAAACTTCGCAGGAGTTTATTTGCACGAGTCGTTAAAACGTTTCGCGAAATTCAAAATATACATAGAATATGGGAAAGTTCGAAATACAGAAATATAGGAAATTATATTTAAATTTCACGTAATTTTTTTCTTTTATTTCAAATGCTATATTTAAAATAATGATATAAGTTATTGATAAACATCTAGATGGACAAACTACACAGATTAGAATAAAATCGGCGAACAATATAAGAATAAATATAAGAAACAATCATCGTATTTTTTATTAAATTTAAATTAAGATTTATACGATTGAAATATTTCCTGTCTTTCTCATGTGTACATATGATACATATGTATTAAAAAAATCTCCGAGTTTTGCTTTTTCATCTACTAATCTACATATTTAATCCTGAATATGTATAAAGAAATCAAATGCAAATTTTAAATTAAAGATGTTGGAAAGATATTAAGAAAGAAACAGGAAGAGAAGTAAAAAAAAAAAGAAATATAGCCAAATATTAACTATAAATAATATATATATATACATATCTAATCATCTTTTTTCAATCCTCGTTGTCCATGAGCGAGCTCCATAAAGACATTGAAATAAAATCATATTCTAAAAATATTCTATTTATTAAAATTTTATCCTACTTCTTTCTCTTTCTTCTAATTATTTACCTCAATAATGAACTTGAAAAAAATTTAATATATTTGTAATGTAACTTGAAACATAATTATTAATACGTCATTTCTTCATCATTTTTCCTGATAATCTTATGTTTAAAATCTGTATATGTGTTATAAATTACACAGGATGAAATATTGATCCTAATTTTAATCCATTTTAATCTACTTTAAGGCAATAAATCTGCAATATGGTATATTTATCTATAATATTTGTGTATCTTTTTAATTTGATATATACATCCAGGTTTTTCACAGATCCATTATCTTAATTTAGAATAAAATACGTCACTCATCAATATGAAAGACAGCAGCAGAATTGTAACTGCGTTGGATTATGGAATTCGAAAATTACGCTGAATTAAAAATACAGACATATCAAAATTAGAATAATGCTTAAAATAATTAGATATTCTAGAAAATAATTATTGGGCGGTCTTACATTGAATCATTTTATTTATCTTCTAATGAATATTTACAATTAGTTAAAAAAAATTACGTAACTTCTAAAAAATCTTTTTCAATTTAGCAAATAAAAGTTCAATTCTTATAGGAATATATGTATATGTATAATCCATTCTACTTAAATTTCAAGTGTGTTTGAAGGATTTTGACATAGAAGTATATAAATATTAAATGCAATACATAATTTTTACTAATTGTAAGTATTTTAAATATCTTTTAAATTTTGTAGAATGTATATACCACACAAATTCGAAAATGTCTTGAATATAGATACGTTATTATGTTACAACAATGCAAAATAGCACACGAAAATTTTTATCTAACACACGGAAATAAATTTCGAATGTAATAAATAACGAACAAATAATAAATTACTCACCCCAAGGATGCTCCACCGTCACCCGATGCCTTCCAGGCCTCCTCCTCTCCTCTCAGCCTCCCTCAGTCGTTGCACTCACACAACGCAATACTCGCGAGAGCATAGTAATTACAATCGCGTGCATAATAATCACCGGAATACGACGACTACACGGCACTTTGCACGGCGGTGTTAATCGCACGCGACACGCACTTCATTGCGTTACTATACGGAACGATAGTATGGAGAAAAGGGAAAAGAATGTACGCGTAAAATGTTACGAATCACTTAATTCACGTAGCGTCTCGCATATAATGTCTATACAATGATCTATACAATGGGATCGACAATGGTCGTAAGCTGCAATCGTATAGGTCAATTGACCAATCACAGTCGAATGTGAGGAGAATGATCGACTTTGATTAATCAATTCCCTACGATTATTTAAGACTTACGACTCTGAACAATTCCTATATTATAAACCCCGCGAATGGATTTCGAACGATGCGGAAGATTTCGGCAAATGTTATCGCGGGAAGGAAGGTCAAACGCTACGTAATCAAAACACATAACGTTTATATAAAGTAACAATAATAATCGTGATCGCTGGATTAAAGGGAAAAACGCGTCGCGACGCTGCCGTTTGATTCGCATGTGAATAATTCACACATTCATTCCGATAGTATCTTACTCATTGAGACAGTCATGAGCCATACAATCGAGTATCACGAACTCGCGTATCGCTAATTGTTCGTAGCAAGTGATTCTACACATTTTTCCGATGCCCCTCGCGATCGACCTTCAAGAGATAATACGACGACACGCACCGCTACCTGCCCCCCATACCTGCCTCAGGCGAGCCCGCGCTACCCCCACTCCCCACCGGGCGAGTGATAGCGGTCGTGCGTCGCGCGCCGCTACCTGCGTTCCCCCTCCCACTACTCCCACTCTCAACTAGGCGAGTGATAACGGCCGCGTGCTCGCTGCGCGGGCGACTCCATGTGATATTGTTTCCGCTCGCCCCGCGCTCTACGGTTAAGCGACGCGAACGTGGCTCTGCGTATCTTCGCATTAAGGGTGCCAGTATGTACACGAAGCGCGGAAATGCGAAAACGTAGAGGACAAAATTAACTGGACTTTATTATTCCCATCTTCTGTTTCGTTTGTTTTAATTTCTTTGTATTACATGAAGCAATTATTCACGGAAAAGCGGAATGCTATGTTGACAAATAAATATTTGTAATCATTTTTAAAAATTGTATTTACTTAATTCATTGCAATTTTTATTAATATGCTTACTTTTTCAAATGCTTATATATTAAATACAAGCATTTTAATAAGTAAATAACGTTAAAAATTAATATTAAAATTTTTTACTAAATTAATGTTTAAATTTTATAATTCCTCGTTCCGCTTTTCCGCTCAAAATATAAAGCAATCAAAACAGATGGAACAGAACGCGTGGAAACACGGAAATCTAGCTTAATCTAGTTAATTTTGTTCTCCGCGTTTACGCATTTCCGCGCTTCATGTATTGGTACCCTTTTACTCTCCGATCGCGACACGTGCTACGGAATATCTAATATCCATTCCCTCGCGAACAATTAGCGATCATCAGTCCGAAACGGTTCGAATTAATTGTTTCTTCCGTTGATGATTCGAAATGATTATCTATCGAAATAAAAGTATCTCATAGGACTTGTTTGGTCAAAATTTGTTTAAATTGATACAATTGTAATCTTAATTGGCTTTAATATTATAACCGCGGCTGTCAATCGCATACCGTGAATTCTACGTGTGTTACAATGTGCAGGTTTATTTAATTCTTCTGTCATTCGGGATTCGTGTTTAACGCGGTCGATCTGCTAATCGCAGCTTTGTACTCGTGCATCTCGCTCGCGTTATTTTTCTCCAACGTAATAAAGTGCGTGTAGTTAACAACGGTAGCGTTGCGCTCGATCGAATATCCTGATCATTAGTACGTGCACGATAATAATTAATTGTGCCTTCGCGAGTGTGCGTGTGTATGTGCAACGAAAAAAGAGGAGGAAGTCTGGAAGGCACCATACGACGGCGGAACGATCACGAGGTGAATAATTTATCATACATTTATACAACAATTAATCTTTTAATAGCAATTTGAACACTACTATAATTTGAATATATCTGTATTTCAACGTATTTCATAGTCCTTGTATTACAACTCCGCCGCTGCGCGTCACATTGGTGAGAAAATTATCTTTCATTTTAAATGAATTTAAGGCAATGAATTTGTGAAAAAGAGACGTATGTATTAAATTTAAAAAAAAAAGGGATAATTGTAACATATCCACAGATCTCCACTTCTTTAAAATCGATAGACTAAAACAGAATACCTGCAGACTTCAAATATTAATTTGCTTTCGAAAAAAAACTTTGTAAACGCATTAAAATTAATAATATATATAACATATATATAAAATACATACAAACTATACATATAATAAATTGCAAAATAATTCTCGTTTAAAAAAAATTTGTAATATAATACCATTAGCGTTGACAAGCATAATTTATAATTAACCATTATCGATTGTGTCTCACCGTGATTAATATATGCGGGAATTTAGAATTTTCTATAAAGTCATTAATAAAGTCACGTCTTCCGGTTATAAATTTTGCTTGATGTTGATTACCGATATCGCCGCGGCATCTCTGAAGGATCGATAAAAATTGGAGAAAAACTTTCGATCGCTCAGTCGTCAACTGTAACATTCTAACTTAATTACGGTTTATAACTTCATGAATATGAATCGTGTATGATACCAGCTTGACTAGTTAGGGCTATGATTTGAAAGAATTGCCAACGCGCAATGTCTGGCGGAAGAGATGCGCGCATTCCGTTCTTCGAAAAACGCCTCAAAAGCTATAAATCGATTATTAAGAACACATGCGAGATGTGCATTCAAATCGTCTGATTATGACAGGTACAAAGTAGCATTCTATCGAAATTATAGATAGAAAGGTGTTCGTGCTAGGAATATTAAGTGTACATTAACCTGTCGATATTTTTATAATATCCATCCTTCACTTACATATATAAGATATCTTAGGCTTCATCGTAATCACATACTGCGAGCGAAAATAAAAGAAATTACAGCATCGTTTTTTCTTCATATTGAAATATCGAGAATTAATTAAATTAATTTATTATATATTTAAATGATTAATCACTAAAAATTGTTTTAAAGTATATAATTAAATGTTAGACGTAACAAAAAATCTTGTATAAAACGAAATTATTTAATTCTTGAATTATGGATTTTTATTTTTTATATCGATAAATATGACCCAGTCTGATTTTTTTTTTAATAAGACGCGTATAGCTATCGCTATACATAGTGATTAATATTCATTTCATAGGTCAAAGTGTAAAAGGACTGTTAACACGTCTCAGCGGAAACTAATGAATCATATTCACAAAAAAGTGCCCAGCGGCGTTGA